TCAAGCAAGTGGGACATATTACTGAAGCACACACGTGGGAAGTGATTTTAGCCCAAGAACGCGTAGGTCCTGTGTCAGTGAAGGCAGTTGCTGGGTGCTTCGGTCATAGGACTTGCCCTGCAGGTTTCAGGGTTCCTGTTCCAGCACCTAGGAGTTTGTTAGCCTAAATGCTTCCCTGCAAGATTAAAGAGAAAGGAAAAAGAAACCCTTCTGGAAGGGACCCTTAAAGATAATTGTTCAGTCAGAAGATTGCTGTTTTACTCTGGATAAAGAGCTATTTTTGTAAGGCAGTCGAAAGGGAAGCAACTTGTTATGTTTTATGGCCTCTGTTGCCCCCTCCAGTCCTACATTAGTAGTCGATGCTGTCTGGAAAACAACAATCCTGGGAAAGCCTGCACTAATAATAATGTCTCAAGCTCATTATTTTATATACATCTGACACGCGTTGGAAGTGAAAATTGGGGTCAGAATTTCCTTTTCTGGCACCACCAATTTTCTATGGGAAAAGCAAAGCCTGTTTTTAGAGGAGACAGCTTTACAGGTGCTGAAGTGAATTCACAGAGGAACTTTGAGTCCTCTCAAAACTTTGTCATAAATGTAAAAGGCACCTGTAACCTGGCTTTCTGTAACCTGTGAGCATGGGCACACATGTGCGTAGAAAAAAAAATTACACTTAAAAAAATTGTAAGCAAGTCTATTTTTCTCTTTGGAGGCAAGCCCAAGGGCACAAGTTCATCAGGTGTTTGCTCCTCAGCTGGACCAACTGGAGAGAGCCCCAGCTTCACTGTCCTCACAGAGGAGGGGGCTCAGCTACAGAAACAAACAGAAAGCACTGACTCCACACTTCTAAAAAGCCACATCACTGTAGTAATAACCAACAAATATTATCATTACCTTATTATGTCTGCCAATTATTTTTTTTCAAGCCAGATAATTTCATACTGAAGAGTGTCTCAATTGCTTAGGGAGGCAATTTTAGAGGCAGAGAGGGAGTCAAGAGCTAGTCACGCTACTCCAAGGCGGACGGCGGGAGCAGGCTGTAGAGATTTATACCTGGATGAAACAGACAAGGGTGATCTCTCCTACAGAGATGCCCACCTCCTATACGGACACAAAGGAAAAGAATTCAGCACAACAATGACATATTTCATTCACCCTTTAATGTCCAAAATAGGATTTTACAGTCAGTTGCTCCAAATAAGTTCTCAGATTAATGCATATTTAGAAAGGCAAAAGCACTCTCCCTCCTACATCTGCTGTGTGCTCCTACCATGCCTTACAGATGGCATCCAAAAGACCACATCTGTCACCCGTTGTACTCTGAAAATGTCTGGGCAAAAATGACAGTACCATGGTGCCTAGTGCTTGTCTGTCCCATGACTGGGTACATAACAGGAGTCAGACAGAAGTGGTTACATCTTTTCAAAGGATTCAGAAATTTAAAAGTACAGTTTTCTGTCTATGAAATAATAATTAGGGAGACTAGGCACTTTGGCTGCAAAGGTGCTGTAAACTGGGAACTAGAAAGGCCAGGTGGCCGAAGTGGTGGCAAACCACCATATCAGGACCATACATCCCTGAAACATGGAAGAACAAATTCTGACAAACACCCACCCCTCACACACTCTTCCTCACAAAAAAGTTTGGGGTAGCATTTTTTTCTGATTCTCTTTAGGTTTAATGCCACTGTCCCACCTCTTCAAGCCCACTTGCTTGTTTTGCAAGACTGAGAGACTCCCATCAAGTTTCACACAATCAGTGACGACAACCACACAGCCCAAAAGCTGAATATTCGCTATAATCTTCCCTATTGTCCACGAGTGGGATTCTTCCCAGCTGTTTTTTTGTGATAATATAGATGCATGTGGAAGTGCAACACATTTCAGTGTAGCCTGCTGGTGGGATCAGAGAAGGTAGTTTGAAGATGATGAGGTCAAACAGATGAAATGCTGGAAAAGCGTACTTGCTGAAAGCATATTTTAGCATACAGGGCTTTTAACTCGATGCTAGAGGAGAGCGAGGATGATTGCCAGATTGACGGTTAAGAAAAAATGTCATTTTAACTGACAACTGAACAAATAAAGAATTAGCGAGGTAAGTCTGGAACTCTGATATACCCAGGCTTATACTATCAGTCCAGAGTAGAACAGTCTACTCAGGAAAAAACAGATTTTCAAGGAAAATGATAGCATTTTTAAAAATAGCCTTTGATGTTTAAAATGCATATAACTAATGACAGAAGTTTTCAAAGATACAGTTGGATTAGTTCTGCTTGGATTGGTTCTTTAGTTCCTGTGGTTCTCTATCAATCATGAAAAAAAAAAAAAAATTCCTAGGAGTAAAAAATGTTTATCTGCACCAAAATTAGAGATGAGTAACCAATTACTTGAATGCTAAGTTTTGTTATTGTAAGCAGTGCAAAGTCAGACCTTTTAATCATGTGCAGCAGAGATTGTTGCTACACTCTAGCACATGCTTAATATACCAAACATTAACCGCTGTGAGTCGCACAAGCCACTGCAGAGTACTGGAAATCTCCTCTGAAACCTGCTGTTCCAGTCTTATGGATGAGAGAAGTGTATTTGATCCCTGTGGACAGACTGGAGATCTCAAGCTGGTGCAACTTGTCGTTACAGCGATAGTTAAGAGTGCTGGACAATGCCATTTTTAATAACCATTTTGAGCTGGTGCAAACTGAAGGCTGCTGTGCGGAGGGGAAGTCCTGTCCTCTCTTCTGCATGTTAGTTACTACTTATGCAGTAAATCAGATGAAAGAACTACCTGAAACCTTTACTAGGCTTCTACCCAAAGCTTAGTAGGACCCTGGGGCAAGGGAGCAAGGGGTTGGCTTAGTTTTAAGCTGGATCAGCCCCTGATGTATCTCACCATTCATCCGAACAGCTATTATTTCTGAGACAGGCTGGAGGAGCAAGAGCACACACAGATCTGTGCATCCACCTAGACATCTGGTCAGCCACAAAGTCCAGGAGCAAACCTGATACAGATGACACTGACCCACTGGCACCAAGGGGAATACTTCCCTGGGACTGGCCATTCACACTGGCATGGCTGTGCCATTGTCACTCCTGTGACTGAGATACCAGAGTGGTCTGAGAGTGGATTGCAAAAGGGAGATCTTTCTGTATATCAGCTAAACTAGATATAAAAATATTCTTGGCCTTCTTACTCGATTTAAAATAAATAAATAAATAAATTACAGCTGTAAAACCCAGTAACTTTTCTTAAGTTGAAAACTACATTTAAACAAGTGTTGCTGTTTAATTCATATGCTGCAAGGATTTCCACTGCCTGAAAAATCCTGAATGTACAGTCTTACAACAATAATCTATTTTTAAAAATAAGCAGCTGAGGCTATTCCCAAGAGGTAGAAGCTTGTGCAGTTTCACTTACAGTTTCACTGTAAATCCACAGTATAAGAAAAATGAAACAGATATTCAGGTTCACCTGATACACACAACAGCAGTGGCAAGTTCTCCACTAATAAAAGATATGACACAATTAGACTGCTAACCTTTCCACTTCGGGAGTTTATCAAAAGAGGCGAGGACTTTAAATTAAATGAGAAGAATCAAAGATATATTCTGCTATTACAGCGCTCTCCTATTCTCCACTTTCATCTGAAGCTCTCTTGAGAAAGACCACCAAGTCTCAGATCTAGGTGCAAACTGCCTTCTTAGAAAACCTTTGATATTTTAATAAAATAGATTGTCAAAGAGCATGCCTGTAAAAGGGATTACAAATGTAAGTAACTGAGCGGGGATAGCAGAAAGGCTCAGGAGGAATTGAATTAAACAAATAAAGGCTTTACAGTATGTTTTGGTTATCATATAGTGGGTGCTAAAAGACAGCAGGGCCAGAGCATATATTAGGAGCTGGGACTCGAAAAGAGAGAACAGGTGGCAAATAGAAAAGAGGAAAAAAAAATCCAAGGACAGCAGGAAGAAAACATGCAAAACAGGCACTTTAAAAGGGGAAGGAAAACTTTGATGTTTTCACAGTGAGCAAGATGACACAATTTCTACTGGCTTTTAAATAGATTCGAAAACACTACCTGTTACAGCCTTTTGGTCTGTTTTACAAAGAACATATGTTCTAAGCACTAAGCAGATACAATTTGAAAGTAGCCTCAGCCTAAAAGGCACATGAAGTGCTGGGGAAAGAGAGGCAAAAATGAAGAGCTCCCACAAGTCTGCCATTTGGAGATCCTCACTGGAGCGCGCAGAGCCTGTGCCACAGTGAAGAATCTCCATGCATTTGAGGTGAGGAAGCCTTCTGGTGAGTGACAAAGAAAAACATTTGCCGTTATTTTTCTGAATCATCTGCTGTCTTGTGCTAAGTGCTTTAAAACCACTTCTTGCAACAAATCAGGCAAATACCAAGGAGCACCCAGTTTAACAGGGAACCTGGAATTCTTCCCAGGCTCCATATGAACCCAACATTGTAAATGAGCAGACACGAGACTACCTCAGCTCACACACCCTTAATACTCATTGCAACAAATGACTCTTCTCCGCTCATCCCAGAGAAACTAAACATTTGGCCCTATTCCTACCAAAACGGCAGTACTATGTTACCAGCGAACTTTTCCTTCAAGGGATGCAAAGTGCAGGAGATGTTGAGAAAGAACTATGAAGACAGGTAAAGAAAACTGAAGAATAGTGTGGAAATATTCAACGTGCTCTTCCCAAGCGCCACCAAGTTCTACCTAAATGTCCATGTATTATGTAGAGGCAGAGTAATCTGGCTTCATCGAGAGCTGGAGTGGAACGAATAAAAAAGGAGATGTGAAGATTTAATGAAATATGAAATCTAAGATGGCACCACCATTAGCAAAGAGTATAGTAGTTTCTTTTCTCTAGACTGGCCTCAGGGCATTTAATTTTGGTGTCGGTCATCTTCGAGGCCAGCCAGCCACTGAAATGTGTTCACAAGCCATCTATTTCCCCCTAGGTTCTTAACCAGCACACAGGAAAAGTTCAATTTAAAAATCATTTTATTATTAACATAATCTTCCTGTTTAGCCAAATGTGGGTCATGTTTAAGGAATGTCAGTAAATATTCCATTTGAGGCTTCTTTTTACATATTCCCATTGATAAATAAACTCTGAATTCACATAAAAAAGTTAAACTTAAATAACTAATATATTTTTTGTAACAAGCATACATTGGTAAAATACAAATATTCTTGTACTCAGCCTTTGCTCTAAATAGAGATAACAGTTAGCCACACATCACAGTTATTAACAACTAAACCCAAGAACTCAACTGATTTTCTGTCCTGGACTAAAATAGAGATGGAAACAGAAAATTCACATTTTGACTTTGGGCCAAAAGAAGTCGAGAGGCAGGAAGAGAACAGTTTTATTAACAGCCTTGTTAAAAATAGCTTGCTCTGCCACCGAATTTTAACTTGAACATATTATTCTACGTTTGGTAGTTGATTCCATTATAATTTTATGTAACACTCAAATATCACTAACAAAATATGGCACATCATCCATGAACAATATAACGATGTTTTAGAACTACCAGGGCAAAAACGTAGGCGATATGAGTGATTTGGTTCTGGCTAGCCATCTTGTCCTCTCAGTCTAACATTAATATATTGCATCACATCACTGTTTTGGCCACTTTCCTGCAAAAGACTGGAGTTTGTTACCTGTAGCTCTAAAGTTTTTCAAACTAACCAGTTACCAGGCAGCCTGATACACTGGGTTTCCTCACCCAGAAGTCAGACCAAAATCGGTTGATCAAGATGCCCTCTCAAAGGACTCTGGGAATGATGGTAAAAGGGACCACGGGACTGCTAGCTTCAAGCTCCAGTGCCGTCAGGAAGCATTCGGTTGCAGCATCATCATTGCCTTGAGCCTGCAGCACCTCTCCCAGGCCGTTCCAGACCTCATGGGCCGTAGAGTTCACCTGGACAGCATCTCTGAGAATCTTCTCTGCCAAGCTATAGCGCCCAAGTTGGTGAAGTATCAGAGCCTGCGAGAAAACAAAGGGAAAACTGTTGGGATTGGCCAGTAGGACTTTCCTAAAGCTCAAATGGTATGCTGCAATGCTGAAATAAGTGTAGGTAGCACTTGGGTTCGAAGTGTTACGGAATATATAAAAAGACTTTAAAAAAACCAACCAACCAAACAAAAAACAACCCAAAAAACCACCAACCTGAAGCAGGACTAGAGTGGGTTACTACACACCATCAAGGAGTCAAGCGGCTTTGGACAGGAAAAAAAAGACACTGAAATGCAAATGCAAAAACTTAGTTGGACAACAAAAACTCCACACAACCACCAAAAATCGGTAAGTACCTGAGCTTTTGTGGCAAGCTCCTGTGTCTATATCCCTGCTAAGGTGTGTGCCCTGAAATGTCCGCATCCTGTCTGCACATCTCAACACCCAGCTTATGTCTTCTAACATCTGAGATCATACACACAGCACCACTGGCTGTCAGGGGTGGCAATAACAGAACCGAGTTCAGCCCAATGGGCAACAGCTGTGGTATTGGATTCAACCTGTGGAACACGAAGTGTGCTGGGACTGAGATTGCACCAACAGGGCATAACGGTCCAGCAGGCCAATAACTTCCTCAGGAGCTTCCTAGACACAGATTCTTCGTGTCCCTCTGTGGAATGGGGTCCACTTCAGAGATCTAAGAGGACGTTCAAACCCACTAGGACTGAATGAGGCAGTGGAAATCTCCATCCATCATATTCGGCTGTTACTACACCAGAAAAGTTATGGAATGACCCAGGAAGAGAGCTCTATTCCAGGAGTGTAATAATCCTAACAACATTATGCATTTTTACCTTGTGAGTCTGTATTGCAAAATGCATACGGACCACCAATCTTTGTTTTCCAAAGAGGCGTCCTGATTACATGCTTACAGATTCCTTGTGACTTCTCCCCTCCCAGCCCCGACTCCTTGGAACACAATTTCCTTTATTTCCCTCTGTACATTAAATCCTTATCAACATAAGCGCTGATGATTAGAAAGTACTGAAATTTTATGCAAATCCTGAATTATTCACCAAACATTTCTGGAATTCTGCCCAAGAGGCCTGCAGCATGGGCAGACTGCTAACTCCATCCTATAGAGCAACAGAGCAGACCATGCTCTGAAGAACAATATAAAGAGTGCTGTACAGTATGGGCAAGTAAATAAATAAATGCAATGAAGGCTAATTTCCATCAGCCTAGCAGATGTTCTCACATAGAGGTGCTAGAGAGCTTTTCTGGTTTGGGATTTTTTTGAGCTGTCAAGTGATTCAGCATTTCCAGAGCGAGTGAACAGTACTTCCAATCCAAAAACCAGTTAACTCTCAGGGTCAGTGTTTCTTCCCTGCAGTAAAGTGATTGTCAGTGACTGGTAGGTATCAGATGTGAAACCACAAAAAATGAAGCAAGGAGGTGGAATATATAAAGGTAGTTTGGCTGCATGCACCTAACCTTAATAAAGTTAATGTTCTTAAATTTCGAGACAAGATTCTCTAATTAATTTTTAAAAATCTTTATTTTTTTCTGTGAGGATTTGTATATTTTATACTAATTAAACATGTTACTCCTTTGAATATTGGCAATACTATTTTTCCCAGATATGCCATACTATTTTCCCTGCTTTCTAAGGATACAAGCTGTTCTTTTCAAGACCAAAGACCAGTTTTGCAGACATAAGCCTGTTGATGGGAATGGAAATGTTATGTCACATCTGCCCTATTCTGTATGGAAAAAAGTGTAGCTGAGATTTTCCAGGTGGTAGAACCAGAGCAAATACTATCTGTTTGCCTGCTGTTATGCTTTTTTAAGAATATAAGCTACTGAGCACTAGTGGAGGAAATGCTCTTGCATGGGCAATCAGGTCACATCCTTTTTGAAGGGAGAGTCTCCTGAAAGCCAGTTTTTCACTGGTGTCTCAGTGGGATGGTATGAAGACTCCTGCCTTGGGGAGCAGCACTGAGACTATGAGCTTTGCTTCTAAAGCATCAATGGAGAGAAAATTAGAACTGTTTCACGCCAAGCATCAAAAGGACGGTGACACTTGGTCACTATATCTGTGGACTGAGTTCAAACAAGTGATCTAGAGAAAAAGGACATAATATCCTCTGACTCATTAACTCCCTCAGAATGATGGTCAGATGTCATACATTACGAGTGTCCAGTTTGTAAATCTCCTTCCTGATGACTTGATTAAAATTCTAAGGCAAAGAATATTTCAAGTTGTTGGCAGCCCTTGCCTGACTTTGCTCTATTAAGCATTATACTTCAGACCACACGGAAAAGGAGCAGGCATGCCTGTCACGCAGCAACATCCTTCAGTGACCTCACACCATCACCCATCCAAGAGAACTGAACTCCAGTTTACCAGCTGTCAGCATATGCTTGCTTTCTGTACTAAACTCTTCAGGAAAAAAATAAAATTCAAACCACTAAAAAACCACAACACCCCCCCGCCCCCCAAAAAAACCCAACAAACCCCAAAACACAACTCCCCTAAGATTTCCCAGAAATCAATACAAATTATCCTTGTCCTTCACTACAGATTTTCATTTGCTTCCTAACTGGAAACAAAATCTTGAAGCTACCAGTTCTGGCCTTTACCCACGTAGCAGCAAGACAGCATCTATCTGCAGAATAATGTTAGGTCTCCTGCTTTATAGCTGGAGATGGGCTTGAACAACACATCAACTCTGCAGAGACACAGAGGGGTACCTAAGTGACATGTGGCTCACACCTTCAGACTTGGCATGTTAGTTTAAAACCTAAACAGAATGTCTTTTCCCTATATCCTCTTTACAAACAAGCACATAAACTAAAAAAAAAAAAAAAAATGTTAGGGATTTTGGAATCTGAATCAATTAGAAAAACTGGTATATAGTAATTTGAGTAAATAATAAGAAATTTTAGTAGGAAGACAGCCATTCTACAAAATATGATGAAAACAGTAAGCTCCTAAGGAATTACACAAATCTGAGGCAATCTATCTGTTCTTTGTACATTTTAAAATGCTGCAGTACCTGACAGAGATGAGATGTTAAAGACAGTTGTTGGAATTCTGCAGGATCTTTCCTGCTGTTGCATCTCTTTCACTGCTCTTTCATATGGAAGACCAATAAATCTATGACATTTGCTTCTAACAGTTATAAAAGCCTCTAACATACGTGCATTTTTTCATTTTGCAGCTTAGTACAAATTTTAGTTTTTATTTTTCCCCACGTTTAGCTTGCTGAGATTTGTGGGGTTTTTGGGGGGTTGTTTTGGTTTTCTTTCCTCTTTTTTTTTTTTTTTTTTAAGCAAACCACTGATCTCCCCTAAGCGTATTAAGGCTTATAGCTTCTGTCTGTTCAGGATGTCTTTATGTTGTAAACTCTCTAAGCAAATCTTATTGTTCTTTCAGCCAGTTCTACATTGTAAAGGTTGATTTTGTAACTCAAAAAACTCCAAGAGAAAACTCTAATCAGAAATGGCACAGACAGAAAATAATGGGAATCTCTGAAGAAACAAAGAGACTTTTTTGGTGCCATCATCACAAGAAGTGAAAGCAGTGCTTCATGTCTCTGATTCACTGATATTGATACCAGTCACTTTGAATAATCAACAGTACTCATAGATTTGAGGAGTTCAAATGCTCTCCACTCAGGGAAAGGTCAACAGCCCTTTACAGTGCCCAGGCCATTGCTGCAGCTCAGAACTGTGAGTAACAGGGAGTTTTCCATTCCAAGAGCCTACTAAAAAAGAGTATTACCGTATGGTGCCTGCAACAGGGAGGTACTGTAGTCACTACAAACAAGGTCCTACACAAGCTTCACATCATGACAGAACAAAACCCTCTAGGAATTAAAAAAAAGGGGGGAAAAGTGCTTCCAAATTTTTTATCTGCTGCAGGTTATTTTCAAGATCTTGACGACTCTTTCCTTATCCAGTCTGAAGTCACAAAGTCTCCTGCTAGTTAGTCAATGATTTTACATGTGTTTCCTCCCTCCATCATCCCTACCCTTCAAGTTACATTGCCTCACATACAAAACAGCTATTCTTTAGTACTTCATCAAAGCATCTGTCCAAGGATTGTTTTTCTAATGCTCAGCCAAACAGGGCCCAACCCCTGACTGAAGGTCCTTGGCACTGTTGTCAAAACAGAAGTAATCTGGTATTTATTACTCAATATCTCCTAGGTACCTACACAAATACAGTCCAGAAAAACAGCCAGAGTCTGAATAGACAGAAATATCTTAATGTACCATCCAAAACATTTGGCTGAATAACCTTCATTTATACTTATCTTGCATGTGTTAAGAAATGGGGATAATATCTTCTGTATTTTGGATACTGTCTTGGGAATAATAATGTTTAGTGTTTTACTTAAGGACACATCACAAGAATTATGAGAGTGATGATACAATTATATCAGAAAAAGTTAAGACGATATGATATAGAAAGCAACAGGCTGATCATGAGAACTAGGGTAACAAAAATACGGCAAAAGTTGGTAAAAGAAAGTGGAAAATAAGACAACAGTAACAGAGAAGTTTTGCGGCATGGTGGAAGCCTGTCAACCAAGCAGGTTGGGAGAAGAACTTGGATATATCAGGCAACCATGGGATGACAGTGTGAAAAAGTGCTGGTGTGAAAGAGGAAAACTCAATTGAAATCAAGAGAGGTTTCCAGTAAAGAGAAAGACAACAGCAACTTTAGCAGCTGTGTTGTACACAGCTATAGTAGGGCCTCCTCTGGCACCTTGTGTAGTCTCATCTATTCAACAAAGGTCACTCAAACTGGAACAGGCACTATTGAGACAATAAATAAAAATCTTAATTTACAAGCAGAGACTAACAGACTTGGTTTAACCTAGCAAATCAAAAGCTGGGAGGAGACGAAATTACTTGCTATAAAAACAGTAGAGAGAACAGAATAGAGAAAAACTATTTTAGCTAAGAAAATAATGTTGGCACAAGAATACATGTGTATAAATTGGCTGTGAGTAAGTTTAC